AAAAAAAAAAAAAAAAAAAAGAAACAGGAAGAGACTGAAAGCAAGGGGAATATCCAGGAGGCTGCTGCATTAGTTTGAGCACATGATGATGAAGATCTGAACTAAGGAAATGGCAGTAGCAAGAGAGAAAAGGAGAAAGAGGAGTTAATACTTTAACAAGTAATTTGAGCATCATTTGTTAGATACTGTGTAAGATTCTGGGGATAAAATTCAAATTACCAAATCTTAGCTCCTCCAAATTATAGGCTTATAATGCATTTATATTGTACATTCACACATTCAGTATTTACTGAACACTCACTATATGTCATGTCCCGTATTGAATGCCAGGCGCACAGTAATGCATGAAGAGGAGACATGATGTGAGCTCTGAATGATAACAGAGGGCTTGTGAGATTGGGGGGAAGAGCATCTCAGGCACAGGGAAGAGACAGAGTAAAAACCCTAAATACATGTGATTCATTCAGTTCTATCACTGTTCTTGTCTCCATCACCATCATCTTTTGCCTGGATTATGTTAAGACTCCTAGTTGATGTCCCCTACACAACTCTTATTCCCCAGGAGAATCTGTTTTCAGTAAGAGTGAATTAAAACACACACATACACACACCATATACCTAACGATGTTCATGTCCAGCTTAAAGCCTCTTAATGGCTTTCCAATGCACTTTGACTAAAATCCAGGTGCTCATCCCTGCCTGACAAGGCCTGTATAATTCAGCCCCGGCTTGTCTCTCTAACCTACCCCCATGTTGCGGTCACAGCCTCCATTTGATTCCTTCAATGGATAACGTTTTTCTACCAAAGAGCCTGTATGTGCCTCTGGCAGGAATTTTCTTCCCCCTTCTTGGCTTAACTCCCACTTATTCCTCTTGATTTTACCTTCAATGTCATTTCTCAAATGTGATCTCCCAACCTAAATCAGTTCCCCACTAAAATCTCTCTTCCTAGCTTTACTTTTCTTTTATTATGCTTATCCCAATTTATAAATATGTATTTGTGAGATTACTTACTTAGTAGGTCTCCCCCCCACCCCGCAACAACCTATAAAAGGGACTGTATTTATTTGTTCTCTCTGTACACCTAGCATCAACACCTATCTTCTAGGAGGCAGACACAATAAATATCTGTTGACTGAATGAATGAGTAGTCTCTGCCTTTTGGGACTTCACAGACTAGTGTAAGGGGGAGAGAAACAGAAGCATGGTTACAATGCTGTCTAATGAATGCAATAAAGAGGTATGCATAGGGTGCTCAGGCAGTGCAGAGGAGGGGCATTTGTCTTGGGGAAGGATGTAAGAAAGGCTCTGGGAGGAGCTGATCCTCAAGATGAATCTTAAGGGATGAACAGGACTAAAGTAGGGAAGGAGTAATTAAGGTAAGGGAGAGACATGGTCAGGAGAGTTATGAGAACTCTGTTTAGAATGGCTGTAGTCCTGTTGTGTTTCTGTGTGTTTGTGTATGTGAAAGGGAGGAGATATAGAGAGGAGGAGAAAAAGAAAGGAAAGGAGGAAGGAAGAGTAGGAGAAAAAAAGCAAAACAGACTGAGGTGTAGCAGAAGTGAAGGGAGCAGGATGCAGACATCAGGAATTGAGTATGTATGCTGTCCTAAGAAAATGAGACTTTACCTTCAATGGATATGTTAGCACGAAATAGATGAATGATAGGGTCTTATGTTTTAATTAATGAGGGAGAACAGATTAAATGGGGGCACTTAGGATCATTTTGCAATTGTACAGGAAAAGTAATAATGAGAGCTGAATCAAGCAGGGGAAGTGAGGATGAAAAGGGTCTGAGAGTGAGATGGTAAATTCTACAGGGTTGAGGGGTGGATTCGAGAAGGGTGGCAGGTGAGAGGGTGTAGTCAAAAACAACCTCAAGGTCTGGAAAAAGTTCTCTCTGTAAAGAGATTTCAAAGTCATAAATATTTAAACTTAAAAATTTAAACTAAATGAAGAACAAATGGAAAGGCAAGATGAAAAGAGAAAAATGTGTATGGAAATCAAATGGTGGATGGTTTCAATGAGTGAGTGACAACAGTATTGAATGCTGCAGAGTTCAAGAAGCAGCAGTGGAAGGCTGCTATAAATTGAAGAGGATACAGCCAATTATAGTCTCTTCTGTTTATATTTCTGTTACAGAAATATAAATACACAGAGGAAAGCACATGGACCATAAGTGTATAGGATGAGGAATGTTCACAAATACCCATGAAACCAGTACCCAAATCAAGAAGTTGAACATTAACTGCAACCAAGAAGTCCCTTTGTGCCCTTTTGTGGTCACCATCCTATCTACTCTGCCTTCAGTAACTGGACTTTTAACATTATAGGTGACATTAAAGATTGTATCTGCTTTTGAACTTTATAATAAATCACATCACTGGATCACAGTCATGTGCCCTTCGGGTATGACTTCCTTGGCTTGACACTGTGTTTGTGAAATCCATCCATATTGTTGCAGCATTCTCTTTGTTGTAGAATATTCTGTTGTATAAATATACATTATTTATTTCTCCAATCTACTGATTGTGGGCATTTGAATTGTTTGTAGTTTTTGACTATGACCAGTGCTACTCTAAGCATTAACGTACTATCTTTTGGTGAACATAGATATGCATTTTCTGTTGGGTATCTTGGAGATCCTGGGTCATAGAGTATGCATATATTTAACTTTAGTAGATGACAAGACAGTTTTGAAAAATGTTCATGTTAATTTATACTCACACTGGCAAAATGTAAAGTTTCAGTTGTTCTATCCTTAATATCATTTGTCTCTTTAAATTTCAGGTGAGTGTCTTTAGGCTATTGTTTTAAGAATAGTTTAGTTACAAATGGAAGAAATATACGAGAGAATAACTTGAAGGGAAATACAGGATCAAGGAACTGTAGTTTAGGATGGGGAAGTGTCAGCTAAGGGGATGAGGTCAGAAGAAGGATAACTGGTGAACTGAGACCAACTCGAGTCAGGCGAGAGCAAATTTGAACAACACTACACACTGAACCTTTCCTCCTGTGAGAAAGGGGAGAAGAAAGCAGGCGTGACTGACAGTATAGTTTCTTACTGAGGTAAAAGGAAGCGGTCATGTTCTGAGTGTCAGGGCAAGAGACCAAGGTTAGGGCCCCTTGGAAAATGGTATTAAGAGCTAACAAAAGAGGAGTTCAAGGATTGTTAAGCAATAGTGAAGGAGATCTTTGAAGTTGTGGTGATTTATATCAGGAAATTATAATTTAGGACACTGTCTGCTGTGATTCCTCAACAGGGAGCATTTATGTTTTTAGGAGAACTCCCTGTGGAGGCTCAGAGGGGTCCCAGGCTCCCTTCAGTTAACACATTTCTAATAGTATGTCAGGTGGGTTTTTTTCCCCCCTGCTGTCCTGGAAATGCAACTAGGGTCTGAAGGAGAGGACTAAAGGTGTTAGGCACCCCACAGTCTAAAGAATTACCAATCTTTGGAGCCAGCCACCTCTCCTCAAGGGCTCACTGAGAGAAGCCAGGTTAGGACAGGTCTTACCATCAATTCCCTGGTGCTGGCCTCTTCTCACCTAATCCCCATCCTCCCAGTAGAGGAAAAGAATGATTATGGGTTTTGTGAAAACATGGAATTGCAGTTGTGAGGAAAGGTATACTCTCTCTCATGAAAATATAATAAGAGGGACTCCAGGAGAATCCATTATAAAGATAAGAACCTGTTGGAAAGGGAGACTTTTATCTCATGCCCCAGCTGGACACTTCCCGAGCTCAGAGCCCACAGGCCCACTCTGCCATCTCCACTGGGCTGGAATGGTAAGAATTACTATAAACAGTTTTAGGAGCCTAAAGGACTGAAAGTGAGCATAAGTGCAGGAGCTCCTAAAAACTAGCAGACTGGCAGCAATACGAGATGAGTTAGAGTACCTGAAGGAGGAGGAGAAAGACGTATCTCAGAATCAGGCCATGGTCCCCTTCTCTATTCAAAGTTACCAGGACCAAAGCTCTAGCCTGATCTGGGCAGGTAAAGGGCGGAACAGAGTAGTAGCAAGCTTTGATGTGATTTGTAAATTTAAGTTTTAAAGATGAGTGTGAATTTTACCTCAAAATAAAATGCAGAAGGGAGAAAATAATACCAACAAGACCAATAAAAAGCATTAAATGTTATGGAATTTGGCCAAAATGTTGAAGGGTCTGTTAATCACTGATAAAGTTAAAAACAATGACACAAAAAAATAATCTCTTATACTGGTTAGAAATGATTGGGTTTTTAATTTTAGCTGGTAAAAAAACAAGACTCCAACAACAACAACAAAACAAAACCCAAGACTCCTGTTTTTATCTCTGAGAAGTTTGAAAATTCTAATAAAGCTGAGAAGATGTGTAAAAAACCATCCTCAGTCCTTGTGAAATGTTCCTGGTTATTTACTGACTAAAGTTTCAATTTAGTGTTCAAAAGGAAAACTGGTCCCTAAAATTGCTGGTTAAACACAGTATGGAAGTACCTCTGCCTTTAAGATTCATAATGACCATTTGCCTATCAGTAGCATACAAAAAATCTAGAGTAAAAAAATTCTGTTTAACCAGCATTTCCAGAATTCATCTGAACGAAGAATCTTTTTTTCTTTTCTATAATATTTATTGAAAAGTCACAGCAGTAGTGTTCCATGGGATACATGGACAGAAACACTCGTTTAAAAAATATGTGCTCCAATTTTACAGATTTTATCTCTGGAAGGTACTTTTAACTTTGTTTTGCTAAATGACTGTTACCACCCACAGTGGAAATGTTTGACATTGATTCACTGACTGTGAAATGGAACAGATATAAGAACACAGATAAATGAGTGGGATAATAATTTTAAAGCTGTAAGAGTGGAACAAGGGGTTAGTGTATGTGGGACATACAAGACTTTGAGATACAGCTGTTCAGCATAGAACATCTTCCTGAAATTTGTTTTAATCAATGGCAAGTAACCTAAAATAGTTTGGTGCTACATTCTGTCAGACATCCTAGGAACAGACGTTCACTCTGTCATTGAAAAGTTCGAGAAACACTGAATTAAGCTTATGTTCAGGGCACCTGGGTAGCTTAGTTGGTTAAGGGTCAGACTTTGGCTCAGGTCATGAACTCACAGTTTGTGAGTTCAAGCCCCACATCAGGCTCCATGCTTACAACTTGGAGCCAGCTTGGGACTCTTCCTCTCCCCCACTCTCTACCCTTCTCCTACTCAAGCTTGTACTCTCTCTCTCAACATACCTAACTAAATAAATAAAAGGATTCATTTAAAATAAATAAAGCTTATGTTCTACTAAGTAATAAAGCTAACAAATAATGTGATCTTATGAAAAAAGTAAGACTCTTTTAATTTTTTTTTTAATGTTTATTTATTTTTGAGAGAGAGAGAGAGAAAGAGAGAGAGGGAGAGGGAGACAGAAAGTGAGTGGGTGAGGGGCAGAGAGAGAGGGAGACACAGAATCCAAAGCAGGCTCCAGGTTCCAAGCTGTCAGCACAGAGTCTGACAAGGGGCTCGAACCCATGAACTGTGAGATCATGACCTGAGTGAAGTCAGGCACTTAAACGACTGAGCCACCGAGGTGCCCCGGAAAGAGTAAGACTCTAAAATTATTTCACTGAAACTTAAAGCTACAAATTGATAAACTCTTTCACATGCTCAATATCTGCCAGTAAATGCCAGAGTTCTCTGTGAAGTATTATTATCAAAAAGAAGCAAATGTCAAAGGAAGAATCAAGTATTTTAAAATTTTTGAAGTTTTAGGTTAAATTGAGGACCTAATTTGGGAGATTTATTCTGTTAAACTACTTACATTCTGGTATTTTAATAGAAATAAGCCCCTCTCCCCAAGGTAAGAAAGGGAAAGAAATTTATTTACTGAAAGTTTCATCTAATTTCATGTGGAAACAATTTAGAGTGTAGAAAACAGTGTTTCTTTCAATTAAAAAAATACACATAACAGGGCGCCTGGGTGGGTCAGTCGGTTGAGTGTCTGACTTCGGCTCAGGTCATGATCTCGCTGGGTTTGTGAGTTCGGGCCCCGTGTCGGGCTCTGTGCTGACAGCTCAGAGCCTGGAGCCTCCTTCAGATTCTATGTCTCCTCCTCTCTCTGCCCTTCCCATGCTCGTGCTCTGTCTCTCTCTCTCAATAATAAATAAACGTTAAAAAAGATTAAAACAAAACAAAACAAAACAAAACACATAAGAGTGGAAGTTCCTGAATTAGAACATTTTGCTGAAAGTGTAGGCTTACCTGTATTCCAGCATGGCTACAGAGGTAAAAATCAAACTCATATGGGTGTGTAATGTCTGTATCAACTGTTGTTCCAGCTGGGATATTGCCACTTCTTCCAACCTAGATTTGTTCGGCCAAAGTTTAAACAAACGAGACAAAGGTAAAGAATGTATCTAAAAGCACTTTTAAAAATGTATAAATATATCAGCTGATCCTGTGTTTCACTACCTTTAACTTGAAATACTACTTGAGCAGGCATTAACCGGAAACCTTATTCTAGTCCTGGTTCCTATTCTTACATAGTGCTGAAAGTGAGAGCTGATAAACAACAAAGAGTTACTAGTTGTCTATTGGTGCTTAACTAGCAGGTGATCCCAATATGGGTGGAGCACGTAAAATTTTTCTTAAAATTACTTTAGGGGTGTCTGGGTGGCTCAGTCAGGTAAGTCTCTAAGTCTTGGTTTCAGCTCTGGTCATGATCTCATGGTTTGGGAGTTCGAGCCCCATCAAGCTCTATACTGACCTTGTGGACCCTGCTTGGGATTCTCTCCCTTTTTTCCCCCTCCCCCAAAAGAAATAAAAATAAAAATAAAAACAAATCTGCTATACATGTTCCAATTTATGGTACCTGTGAAAAACAGGCACTCTTGAATGTGTAATTTATGAAAACTAGCATTTTCCTTGGAAACACTATATTTTTAGAGAGCAAGAATGCTGACAACATACAACAGTAGTAACCATTTGTTAACTATGTGCCAGGCACTTAACGTATATTATTTCTAATCCTAATAATCCTGCAAGTCAGGTGTTATTCCCTCCTGTTTGGGAAACCTAGGCTCAGGAATATGAAATAATTTGCTGCACAGCACACAATAAAGGGCTGAACTGGTAGTGAAATATGGAACTGATTGCAAAGGTCCTATTCCTTTTATTTCATACTAGCAGTTTTAACATCTTGTAAGGAAGCCAACACCATGATGGCGATGGTGTGAATGTGACTGAAATGGTTCAAAATTTCTGATAAGGAAAGGCTCATTTTTTAAAGTTTATTTGTTTATTTTTGCAAGAGGCCGAGAGACAGATTCTGATGCACGCTCCGGACTCTGAGCACAGAGCCTGACATGGGGCTTGAACCCATAAACTATAAGATCATGACCTGAGCTGAAGATGGACGTTCAGCCAACTGAGCTACCCAGGCGCCCCAAAAGGTTCCTAATAAAACACTTCAAAATGCATATGTATACTCACCTCTACCTCTGTATCTCTAACACATTTAAAATCAGTAATTCTAAGTCTAGGTTTATAAGGTTAGCAAATTAGAAACTATTTTACTGACTCAGACATTCTGTCTGCATGCGAGGGACCACTATCAGGTATTGGCATGAGTTATATATAGCTATGTAGCTATATAGCTATGTAGCTTAGCCTTCACTAAGCACAAAACAAACAGTTCATACTAAGCACAAAACAAAGAAAACAGTTCATAATCAACTAAATTATGCCTATTCTTAATACACAAATCAAATTAACACGTATAAAAAGGTTTACTTTACTTACAGAGACAGCAGAATGGGTTTATATCACAGCTTCACCGGTTTCTAGTTGTTCTATCTAGGGCATGGTATTTTAACTACCTCTCATCTATTATTAGTAATAGTATTTACACTTGATCTTAGCCAAAAGGTCGAGAAGCGATAGTAATAGTGTTTAGAACAAAGGTGAAAGAGAAGCTGACAAATGAAGGACTAACATGACTAAACATCAGATGCTAGTAATCATTAAATCTAACTTAGGTTTTCCTAATCTTGCTTCTGAAGAAACATTTGGTTTTTCAGGCACAAAAAAAATTTACATAGAAATTTGGGGTCAAAGGCCTTTAACAACTGGAGGCCACAATAAAAAACTAACACTACTGCCATCAGAGAGGTTAACAGTGATTATAAGCATTCTGGAGCCAGAGTGCCTGATTTGAGTCCTAGCTCTACCAACAACTAGGCTTGTAAACCTTGTTCTTTAACCTCATATGCCCCAGTTTCCTTCTGTGGAAAATGATAATAATAATAAATACCTCATAGTGTTGTGATGATTAAATGAGTTAAATTTATAACAAATACCTATAACAAATACCTAGTTTGCTATGATTATTTCTTTTTCTCTATTATTTTTCTTTTTTCTTTTCCTCTATTATTACCACAAACACCACCACTCTACAACTAGCCAACCTTTATTGTGTGCTTAGCATGTATGTGCCAAGCACTGTTTTAGGTATATTACATATTTTTATTTATTTAATCCTTTTAACAACCCAAATAAGGAAGAAATTAATATCACCCAAACCTTGCTGGGATGGAAACAGGCACAGAGACGTTAAGTTACTTGCCCCAAGTTACATGGAGAGTGTAACCAAAGACAAAATATATACGAAACCCAGCATACACTTCTCACTCTTTTCTGTTGAACCCTTTCCCCAAGGAGACACTAACACTTGCAATTCTCAAATTTCTCTGCTCCACAGTTTGAAGGATGGGAATGGAGCAATGGAAATGACAGCAAGACTGTTACTTGCCTATGCTTCATGCAGACAAGAATACAGATTTCCCTAGGTATTTACACCTCATCCTCTTTCTAATTATAAAAATACATAGTCATACTACAAAACATAAAAATGAATTCTGTGAGGGGGTGCCTGGCTGGCTTAGTTGGTAGAGCATGAAATTCTTAATCTAGGGGTAGTGAGTTCAAGACCTACATTGGGTATAGAAATTACTTAAAAATAAAATCTTGCGGTGCCTCAGTGGTTCAGTCATTAAGTGTCCTATTCTTGATTTCAGCTCAGGTCATGATCTTGTGCTTCTTGAAATCGAGCCCTGCATTAAGCTCTGCAGAGCCTGCTTGGGATTCTCTCTCTCCCTCTCTCCCCGCTCCTTCACCGCTTGCACGTGTGTGTGTTCTCTCTCTAAATATATAAATAAACATTAAAAAAAAAAACAAAGAGGGGCGCCTGGGTGGCTCAGTCAGTTGGGCGGCCGACTACAGCTCAGGTCATGATCCCACGGTCTTTGAGTTCCAGCTCCGCATCGGGCTCTTTGCTGACAGCTCAGAGCCTGAAGCCTGCTTCTGATTCTGTGTCTCCCTCTCTCTCTGCCCCTTCCCTGCTTGCTGTCTCTTTCT